TCTATCTATCTATCTATCTATCTATCTATCTATCTATCTATCTATCTATCTATCTATCTATCTATCTATCTATCTATCTATCTATCTATCTATCTTGGCAAAAATAGCACCTGGACATGAATGGCTGGTGCCCCTATGAATAAACTATTGATGATCAAGGATCAATTATGCTAGCCATGGCAGTATGAACACTATCAAGTATGAACACTATCAACAACGAAGGGGAGGGGAAACCAGCAGCACACGGAAAGGGGAGGTGAGGGAGGTATAATCATGAAAATAGCTAATGAAAAGTATTACATTAAGGCGTCCATAAAGGTAAACATGTCGACTCGACAGTACGTTAAATATTTTTTTAAAAACCTACAAAAAACAAACAAAAAATAACATGTAGATGGCGGTAACCAGCTGCAAACTAAAGGAAAGCACGAAGGAAGAACAGAGCAGCGAGCACAGACACTTTGCTTTCGAGGTGACGGCGTCCGAGAAGGAGACGGGCTTTTTCGTGAAGACGGGGTTCTCGGAACCGATTCCAACTCAGCCTCTCGGTAAACCGGTTCCTGGTATTCCGGCTCCTGATATTCCGGTTCCTGGTACTCCAGTTCCTCGTGTTCCGGTTCCTCGGCGATCTCGACTACTGGTTCATCCCGTTCCTCATGAACCGGCTCTCCAATCAGTTCTTGCACCGGTTCCTCAGAAGGATCACCTTCCTGTAGTTGGGGGTCCCATTCTTGATAGTGTTCCTGCCACTCGTAACCCGGGTAGGGACCGTCGTTTTGGTAATTGTTCTGATCCGGTTCTCCGGGTTGGCTTTCTTCCTCTCCCACTTCCCTCCGCTGGAATCGACTGCTGTTGCTGCTTGCATGAGAGACCGGGGTCCTGGGAGAACCGGATTGCCGGGATTTGGGCGAGCTCTCCCCCTGAACCAGTTGGCTCTCACGGGACGGTTGCTGGAAGATTTAGAATATGAAATATTATCATAATGTTTAGATTATGTTAATTAATGTTTAGATAGAATGAGATGAGGAATATGACGACACCATCACAATAGATTTTGTCACATCTGCGCTAAAGACCACCAACAACACAACGCCAGGTCCAGATGGGATTCAGTACAAACACTATAATGAGCTCAGTGACGAGAAACTGGAAACATTGTGGATGACAACAACAGCTACATCAGGACATCACCTTTACCATAAGAGTGGCTTAGAAGTTATTTAAAGCCACTATCAAAACCTGGGAAGAATCACTAAGAAATCAAGGATAGCGCATTATCACCATGCAAAATTATGTGTATGGAAAAGTTCTAGAAAAATGCACAGCAAGAATACTTATGAATGAGCTAGAGAACGGGAACCTTTCTGAGGAGGTAAGGGGTTACAGACCCAGAAAGGAACACCACAGGGACCTTCGCGTACGATGTATATGAAGGCTTTCAGAGAGGAGAAGAGACCGTGGCAATAGCATTAGATCTGGAAGATGCTTACAATCATGTACATTATGAGAGGCTAATGTGTGCTCTGCTAGATTGCGACCTGAATCCGTGGACTGTTGGGTGGACTGTGGGGGCAATGCTGGAAAGAAAAGTGGCTTTGCGATGTGGTCAATGGATTTTAAGCCCACAGGTGAAAAGACCAGGACTCCCACAGGGCTCACCCTTATCGCCCATACTGATCTATGTCTACACTGCTCGTATAGAAACGCTGAACAGCGTTGGACAAGGGAGAATACTAACATTTGCAGATGACATCTTGGCCTACAGGCAAGGACGGGATCGGCAGAAAATGACGGATGAATTACATCATCTCAAGAGGTTGAGAAAATCATGGAGTGGTGTGCTGAATCGACTGCAGTGATCAATCCTAAGAAGGCTGCAGCATTGTGGTGTTCTTTAAACAATCGAATAGTAAAGACAGATGTCCCCGAGCTGACGGTAAATGGACGGAATATATAAAGATGTCAGAAGATGCGGTATCTGGGAGTGGTTTTCGATCGCTGTCTATCCTTCAAAGTTCACATAGGTAGTGTTGAGGAAAGGGCAAAGAAGGGTTTGAATGCAGTGAAAGTCATGGCGGCTTCAGGAATGGAACAAAGGCTACAGCTTCTTATGTATCAGCAGCTGGTCTTAGCAGTAATCGATTATGGGCTTGGAGTATTGACCTTGACAAAAACCCAAATGGGCAAGTTGGATCGAGTTCAAAATGAGGCCATGTGCATCATACTAGGCTGCACCAGGAATACGCCAGTTATCTGTATGAGGCATGTATTGGGCTTCATGTCAGTGAAAAACAGACTAAAAGTGGCTCAAGTCAGGGACTATATGAGGGTGGCGGCTGAAAAGCAACACCCGCTTCACGAAGGCATTGGAGCAATCAAGGGAAATCGCCTAAAACGAAGAGCTTCTTGGATAGCCGAGGCTGAAAATACCATCAAGGAAGTCTTCCCACTGGAAGATATACAACGGGGTGAAGAAAGGATAAAAATGAATGAGAGACAGCAGGCACATTTTGGGAACGTAGTTATTACGCTGAACAGAGAATGTAGAGAGTGGCGCAGGGGGTCACATATGCCGTGATAGGACAACGGATTGAAGACAACTCACGGATGGAGATGTGGTTGTATATACGGATGTATCTGTTAAACGAGGGTAAAAATCTAGATGGGGGTTCTCAGCAAGAGTGAGTTGCAGATTGGTGCAAGAACAGCAGAGAGCATACGATATGACATCTAGCATGAGAATGGAGATTAAGGCTCTCAAATGGGTTACAAAAATTCGACAAGCACATGTCCTGATCTTTGTAACAGACTCTCAGAGCACTCTGAGGAAGATTCAAAGAGGGAACTTTAGAGCTGAATGGGCAGAGCTCCTGAAGAAGACGACACTGAAAAAGATCACCTTCACTCCGGGCCATGCTGGAGTCAAGGGCAATAAGCGGGCTGATGAGCTCGCTGGGAAAGCAACACCTGAAGGAAAGCTGTGCCCTGACAAACCTGAAATTGTGGAGAAAAAGAAGACGAATCGGAATACCATCAATTCGAGCGATTTTGTGTGCTTGGAATTGAATGGGGCACCTGCAGACGATCAAGACTTAGTGGGAGGAGCAAATGGCTAAGAAATTAGCCATTGTTTGGAACCTTCAGCAACTACACACTTCGAGATGTACTTCTTCAGGGGACGGAGCGCTTATAGGGATGTCCCTTGTGTAGTGATGTTGGTCCTTTACACGAGTAACAAGTAACAAGTAAGTAGCAAGATAGAAAGCGTTTTAGAATACTTGCAACACAATTATATAATATATGCGCCGAAAAGTAGAGGTGTTACAGGACAGTAATAAACATACATAGAAGGATGAGAGAAAAAGACGATAGATGTTTTTTTGGAAAGAAAGTGAAATGGTAGGTTTATCGTCCCCTATCAATACTATAAGATTATTTAAGAGGCGGGACCGACGAGTTTAGCGTCCATCTCCGAAAGGCCGGGGCCAAATTGGAAATATGTGTAAGCTGACTTCCCCAAGGACACATCGTCGGACCGAAGCGTGGCTCGAACACCCGAACCCACACCTCACGATTTCGGGCCGGTCGTCTGACTACTAAGCTACCAACTCTACCACGATTTGAGGCGTTCCTTCAAATTAACATGCCAAGAAAAGAAGCAGGAGAGATAAGCACGATATACTATATTTTGAAGTGCTGAAGGAGCAAACCACACCAAATATCCGGCCAACCACCCACTTCTGAAAGGAAACAAAGCTAAGAGAGTTTGGGATAAAGAACCGAGGGTATCTATCTATCTATCTATCTATCTATCTATCTATCTGTCTGTCTGTCTGTCTGTCTGTCTGTCTGTCTGTCTGTCTGTCTGTCTGTCTGTCGGTCTGTCGGTCTGTCGGTCTGTCGGTCTGTCGGTCTGTCTGCCTGTCGGTCTATCTAGTTGTGCCCGTGTGTATTTGTCTGTCGTCTCTTTAATTTCTTATCTATTAATTAGGTGGACCAATCGGTCCAGCCATGACAGTATGTACACTGCCAATAAAGATAAGAGGGGAAAAGGTGGATCCTGAGAGGTGGGGGAGGGAGGCGTACAATAATGAAAACAGCAGATATTACATTAAGGTGTCCAAAACTGTATACAATATTGACTCGACATTAAGTTAAACAAAAACAACAGGTAGCAGGCGGTAACCAGCTGCCAAATAAAGAAAAGCACGAAGGAAAAACAAAGCAGCGAGCACAGACACTTTGCTTTCGAGGTGACGGCGTCCGAGAAGGCGACGGGCTTTTTCGGGAAGACGGGGTCCTCTGAACCGATCCCAACTCCGCATCTCTGTAAATCGATTCCTCGTGTTCCGGTTCCTCGTGCTGCGGTTCCTCGGCGATCTCGACTACTGGTTCATCCAGTTCCTTATATTCCGGCTTGCCAATCAGTTCTTGCACCGGTTCCTCAGAAGGATCACCTTCCTGTAGTTGGGGGTCCCAATCTTGATAGTGTTCCTGCCAGTCGTAACTCTGGTAGGGACCGTCGTTTTGGTAATTGTTCTGATCCGGTTCTCCGGGCTGGCTTTTTTCCTCTCCCACTTCCCTCCGCTGGAATCGACTGCTGTTGCTGCTTGCACGAGAGACCGGGGTCCTGGGAGAACCGGATTGCCGGGATTTGGGCGAGCTCTCCCCCTGAACCAGTTGGCTCTCACGGGACGGTTGCTGGAAGATTTAGAATATGAATTATTATCATAATGTTTAGATTAGTTTAATTAATGTTTAGATAGAATGGGACGAGGAATATGACGACACCATCACAATAGATTTGGTCAAATCTGCGCTAAAGACCACCAACAACACAACGTCAGGTCCAGATGGGATACAGTACAAACACTTTAATGAGCTCAGTGACGAGAAACTGGAAAAATTGTGGACGACAACAACAGCTACATCAGGACATCACCTTTACCATAAGAGTGGCTTAGAAGTTATTTAAAGCCACTATCAAAACCTGGGAAGAATCACTAAGAAATCAAGGATACTGCATTATCACCATGCAAAATTATGTGTATGGAAAAGTTCTAGAAAAATGCACAGCAAGAACACTTATGAATGAGCTAGAGAAAAACGGGAACCTACCTGAGGAGGTAAGGGGTTACAGACCCAGAAAGGAACAACACAGGGACCTACGCGTACGATGTATATGAAGGCTTTCAGAGAGGAAAAAAGACCTGGAAGATGCTTACAATCATGTACATTATGAGAGGCTAATGTGTGCTCTGCTAGATTGCAACCGGAATCCGTGGATTGTTGGGTGGACTGTGGGGGCAATGCTGGAAAGAAAAGTGGCTTTGCGATGTGGTCAATGGATTTTTAAGCCCACAGGTGATAAGACCAGGACTCCCACAGGGCTCACCCTTATCGCCCATACTGTTCTATGTCTACACTGCTCGTATAGAAACGCTGAACAGCGTTGGACAAGGGAGAATACTAACATTTGCAGATGACATCTTGGCCTACAGACAAGGACGGGATCGGCAGAAAATGACGGATGAATTACAGCAAGAGGTTGAGAAAATCATGGAGTGGTGTGCTGAATCGACTGGAGTGATCAATCCTAAGAAGGCTGCAGCACTGTGATGTTCTTTAAACAATCGAATAGTAAAGACAGATGTCCCAGAGCTGACAGTAAATGGACGAAATATCCAAAGATGTCAGAAGATGCGGTATCTGGGAGTGGTTTTCGATCGTTCTCTATCCTTCAAAGATCACATAGATAGTGTTGTGGAAAGGGCAAAGAAAGTCATGGCGGCTTCAGGAATGGAACAAAGGCTACAGCTTCTTATGTATCAGCAGCTGGTCTTAGCAGTAATCGATTATGGGCTTGGAGTATTGACCTTGACAAAAACCCAACTGGGCAACTTGGATCGAGTTCAAAATGAGGCCATGTGCATCATACTAGGCTGCACCAGGAATACGCCAGTTATCTGTATGAGGCATGTATTGGGCTTCATGTCAGTGAAAAACAGACTAAAAGTGGCTCAAGTCAGGGCCTACATGAGGGTGGCGGCTGATAAGCAACACCCGCTTCACGAAGCAATTGGAGCAATCAAGGGAAATCGCCTAAAACGAAGAGCTTCTTGGATAGCCGAGGCTGAAAATACCATCAAGGAAGTCTTCCCACTGGAAGATATACAACGGGGTGAAGAAAGGATAAAAATGAATGAGAGACAGCAGGCAGATTTTGGGAACGTAGTTATTACGCTGAACAGAGAATGTAGAGAGTGGCCACAGGGGGCCACATATGCCGTGATAGGACAACTGATTGAAGACAACTCACGGCATAGAGATGTGGTTGTATATACGGATGGATCTATTAAACGAGGGTAAAAATCTAGATGGGGATTCTCAGCAAGAGTGAGTTGCAGATTGGTGCAGGAACAGCAGAGAGCATACAATATGACATCTAGCATGAGAATTGAGATTAAGGCTCTCAAATGGGTTACAAAAACTCGACAAGCACATGTCCTGATCTTTGTAAAAGACTCTCAGAGCACTCTGAGGAAGATTCAAGAGGGAACCTTAGAGCTGAATGGACAGAGCTACTGAAGAAGACGACCCTGAAAAAGATCACCTTCACCCCGGGCCATGCTGGAGTCAAGGGCAATAAGCGGGCTGATGAGCTCGCTGGGAAAGCAAAACCTGAGGGAAAGCTGTGCCCTGACAAACCTGAAATTGTGGGAAAAAGAAGACGAATCGGAATACCATCAATTCGAGCGATTTTGTGTGCTTGGAATTGAATGGGGCACCTGCAGACGATCAAGACTCAGTGGGAGGAGCAAATGGCTAAGAAATTAGCCATTGCTTGGAACCGTCAGCATCTACACACTTCGAGATGTACTTCTTCAGGGGACGGAGCGCTTATAGGGATGTCCCCTTGTGCATTGATGTTGGTCCTTTACACGAGTAACAAGTAACAAGTAAGTAGCAAGATAGAAAGCGTTTTAGAATACTTGCAACACAATTGTATAATATATGCGCCGAAAAGTAGAGGTGTTACAGGACAGTAATAAACATACATAGAAGGATGAGAGAAAAAGACGATAGATGTTTTTTTTTGGAAAGCAATACTATAAGATTATTTAAGAGGCGGGACCGACGAGTTTAGCGTCCATCTCGAAAGGCCGGAGCCAAATTTAAAATTATTTTAAGCGGACTTCCCCAAGGAAACATAGTCGGAACGAGCTGTGGATCGAAATCCAGAACCCACAATTTCACGATTTCGGGCCGGTTGTCAGACTACTAGGCTACCAACTCTACGACGATTTGAGGCGTTCAACAAATTAACATGCAAAAGAAAAGAAGCAGGGGAGATAAGCTCGATATAATATATCTTGAAGTGCTGAAGGAGCAAACCACACCAGATATCCGGCAAACCACCCACTTTTGAAAGGAAACAAAGGTAAGAGAGTTTGGGTTAAAGAACCGAGGGCTATCTATCTATCTATCTATCTATCTATCTATCTATCTATCTATCGATCTATCGATCTATCGATCTATCGATCTATCTATCTTTTTGTACTTACATCAGACTGTCTGAAAGTCTATCTAGTTGTGCCCGTGTGTGTTTGTCTGTCGTCTCTTTAATTTCTTATCTATTAGGTGGACCAATCAGTCCAGCCAAGACAGTATGTTCACTGTCAATAAAGACGACAGGGGAAAAGGTGGATCCTGAGAGGTGGGGGAGGGAGGCGTACAATAATGAAAACAGCAGATATTACATTAAGGTGTCCAAAACTGTATACAATATTGAGTCGACATTAAGTTAAGCAAAAACAACAGGTAGCAGGCGGTAACCAGCTGCCAAATAAAGAAAAGCACGAAGGAAAAACAAAGCAGCGAGCACAGACACTTTGCTTTCGAGGTGACGGCGTCCGAGAAGGCGACGGGCTTTTTCGGGAAGACGGGGTTCTCTGAACCGATTCCAACTCCGCTTCTCTATAAATCGATTCCTCGTGTTCCGGTTCCTCGTGTTGCGGTTCCTCGGCGATCTCGACTACTGGTTCATCCAGTTCCTTATATACCGGTTCGCCAATCGGTTCTTGCCACGGCTGATCCGGTTCTTCGGGCTGGCTTTCTTCCTCTCCCACTTCCTTCGGCTGGAATCGGCTGCTGTTGCTGCTTGCACGAGAGATCGGGGTCCTGGGAGAACCGGATTTCCATGACTTAGGCGGGTTCTCCCCCTGGATCAGTTGGCTCTCACGGGACGGTTGCTGGAAGATTTAAAAGCTTTTAGTAAGCGTTTTAGGACACAGCAGAGGCGTTACAGGACAGTAATAAAAATAGCAAGAGGGACGAGAGAAAAAATAAGATAAATGTTTTAAAACAAAGAAGGAGCAAACCACAAAATAGCACCCGCCAACCAGACACCTGTTAAAGGTTTAGAATCTTTTAGTAGTTTTAAACAGAGTTTCACGGCCCTTGCAAAACAAATAGGTCATAATGTACATGTAAGTGCGGAAGATTAGAAATTTAAATATAAAATGAGAAATTTACATGTTTATCACCCCCTATCAATATTATAGGGTCATTTAAGAGGCGGGACCTCCGAGTTTAGCGTTCATTTCAGAAAGGCCGGAGCCAAATGGGAAATATGTGTAAGTTGACTTCCTAAGGACACACTGTCAGACCTCGGACCGAGCTGTGGTTCGAACTCACGAACCCACACCTCACGATTTCGGGCCGATCGTCTGACTACTAGGCTACCAACGCTACCACGATTTGAAGCGTCCCTACAAATTAACATGCAAAGCAGTTTGACATTCCACTAGCAGAGATTGATCTGGAGGTGAGTGAAGAAAAGCCCAAATTAGAGGAGATGAAGGAGGCGATAAGACACGAGAAAACAGGCAAGGCAGCCGGCCAGATGGAATTCCCCCAGAATTTCTCAAGGCGGATTTGCGGCAGGGATTCTTCGTGGAATTATTGGCAAAATATGGAGCGGCGAAGAATTTCCTCAGGATTGGAAACTACTTGCGAAACTACTCAAGAAAAGATATCTGAATTAGTATAAAAACTACAGAGGAACCATGCTCCTGTCCATTCCTGGGAAGATTTTAAGACGTACCATACTGGAAAGACAGAAGGAAGCCGTGGATGTAAAACTAAGAGAGGAGCAGGCGGGATTTCGTAAAAAGAGATCAAGTACAGATCAGATTGCAACTTTGAGGATACTAGTGGAGCAGTCCACAGAGTGGAACTCTTACCTGTACGTTAACTTTGTTGACTACGAGAAAGCTTTTGACAGCCTAGATAGGGACTCAATATGGAAGCTCATGCGCCACTTCGGAATTCCTGACAAGTTCGTAAGATTGATCAAGAAGATGTATGAGGGAATGAGCTGTAGTGTCTTACTTGGAGGGCAGCGGACAGACTCGTTTGAAATGAAAGCAGGAGTGAGACAGGGATGCCTGCTATCGCCTTTTCGCTATTTATTAGCAGTTGATTGGATAATGAGACAGACAACATCAGGACATCGCGCTGGCATTCAGTGGGCCCTTTCCAGTCAGTTGGAAGACTTGGACGTTTATCGACGACTTGGCACTTCTTTCTCTTAGTGGAGCCCAGATGCAACAAAAGACAGATCGCCTCAGGACCTTCTCCAGGAGTTTTGGACTTATTATTCACACGGATAAAATGAACGTCCTTCGAATGAATGTAGCCGACGTTCCTATCAAACTACAAGGGACACCATTGGCAGATGTTGAATCCTTCACCTACCTGGGAAGTGTCATCAACAAGGCAGGGGGAACAGGCGAAGAAATCAAGGTCAGAATGAAAAAGGCAAGAACAGCATTCATCATCCTCAGGAATATATGGATGTCTAAGGAACTGGGATTGAACACCAAACGGAGGGTCTTCAAAACAAACGTGAAGACTGTTCTACTGTGTAGCTCAGAGACATGAAGGCTCACAGTATCAGCAGCAAGGAAACTGCAGAGTTTCAGAAAAGGATGTCTAAGAAGGATAGTGGGGGATCAAGTGGTACGATCGAGTAACAAATGCTTAACTGTGGGAAAGAACAAGCCAAAGGCCAGTAAAGGAAGACACACACGTGAAGTAATGGAAATGGATTGGGCACACTTTGGGGAGACCCCCGACAAGCATCATTAGACAAGCTTTGACGTGGAATTCATAAGGAAAACGTAAGAAAGGAAGACGAAAAATGACATGGAGGCGAGCGGTACTTGCAGAAATGGAAAAGCGCTCTTTCAAGAGTAGAAACTTAAAGAATATCAGCCATGACCAATTCTCTGCTGATTTGCAGCGCAATGCCATAAAATCTTAGAAAAAGTTGTTCAATCAGAATTAAGAGCACATCTTGAAGTAAATAATCTTTTAGAATGTTATCAGTCGGCCTACAGAGCGTTTCATAACACAGAGACTGCACTTTTAAAAGTCCAGAATGACCTCCTTTGTGAAGCAGACGAAGGCAAAGTGTCTGTTCTTGCCTTACTCGATCTAAGTGCTGCATTTGCTACCATCCATCATTCAATTTTGATCAGGAGGTTAGGCCATAGCTTCGGCTTATCTGGGACTGTTCTTGAATGGTTTGAGTCCTATTTGTTTAATCGTACACAATCTATACTTGTAAAAGGTGAAATGTCATCCATTTTCAGCTTGCTATTTGGCGTGCCCCAAGGGTCCGTGCTCGGACTACTCTTATACACACTATATAAAAAGCCCTTAGGTTCAATAATTAGGAAGCACGACGTTAACTACCACATGTACGCGGACGACACTCAGCTGTACAAGTCTGTTTTACCAACAAATTTCAATTGTCTAGTCTCCAGCATGAAAACATGTATTGTGGAGGTAAAATAATGGATGATATCAAACAGACTTAAAATGAATGATGATAAGACCGAAGTTCTGTTTTGCAATGCCAAACCAGGGATATTGCTTTGCAATTTTGACCATACATGTATTGGGAATGATAACATCTTTTTCACAGATATTAGACAAAGCGAATAATCTAGGCGTTAATTTTTGACTGCAAACTCTCTATACACCATCATATAAACCATCTATGTAAGGTAGTTTATCAAGAACTACGCAGAATAGGACAAATGTCAACATATCTTAGTGTTGATTCCATCAAAACCCTCATCTCTTCTTTTGTCCTTTCACGTCTAGACTACTGCAATTCTTTGTTTGGAAACCTTCCCACTGAAACGTTAAATAGATTACAGCGACTCCAGAACCAAGCTGCTTGCATAATTTTAAAGAAATCTCTCAAAGAGCATATAACACCAATGCTAATTCAACCACATTGGCTCCCGGTAAAAGCACGAATTCAGTATAAATAATTGTTCTTTGTTTTAAGTGCGTCAACAACATTGCACCATCATACCTTTGTGACATGGTCATCGAATATATATATACCACCTCGGCCTTTAAGATCTGTGACGAAAAGACTTTTAAGACCTGTCCAAAGCAAATGTCAGAGACTCGGAGGGAGAGCTTTTTCACACCACGCCCCCTCCTTGTGGAACGCTTTGCCAGCTCATCTACGGGAGTCCACCACTTTATCAAAATTTAAATCAGCACTTAAAACGCATTTGTTTCAGTCCAGCTTCAATCTGTAATTTCCGACATTCCCAATACAAATATTGTTATGTTCTCTCAGTATCTATTATATTCTCTCAGTATCATTTATTCATGCTGTTCTGTTCTTTAGGAATTTATGAATGTGTGAATTCATCAATGTGTGCGAGGGTGTCTGGGTAAGCTTTGTAGGATTGTCTTTACTCAAGGATGTACTGGAGAGAGAGAGAGAGAGAGAGAGAGAGAGAGAGAGAGAGAGAGAGAGAGAGAGAGAGAGAGAGAGAGAGAGAGAGAGAGAGAGAGAGAGAGAGAGAGAGAAAACATGCGAAGGAAAGAAGCAGGAGAGGTAAGCACGATATACTATATTTTAAAGAACTCAAGAAGCAAACGACACCAGCGAGCCGGCCAACCACCCACTTCTGAAAGGAAACAAAACTAAGTGAGTTTGCTGTAGAGAACCGAGGGGTCTGTCTGTCTGTCTGTCTGTCTGTCTGTCTGTCTGTCTGTCTGTCTGTCTGTCTGTCTGTCTGTCTGTCTGTCTGTCTGTCTGTCTGTCTGTACTTCCATCAGACTGTCTGAAAGTTGAAAGTCTGTCTATCTAGTTGTGCCCGTGTGTGTTTGTCTGTCGTCTCTTTAATTTCTTATCTATTAGGTGGACCAATCGGGCCAACCATGACAGTATAAACACTGCCAATAAAGATGGGAGGGGAAAGGCGAACCCTAAACGGGGGGGGGGAGAATAATAATGAAAACAGTTAGATATTTTACATTAAGGTGTCCATTAAGTGTGTAGATATTGAGTCGACATTAAGTTAAGCAAATACAACAGGTAGCTGGCGGTAACCAGCTGCCAAATAAAGAAAAGCACGGGGGAAGAAAAGAGCAGCGAGCACATACACTTTGCTTTCGAGGTGACGGCGTCCGAGAAGGCGACGGGCTTTTTCGGGAAGACGGGGTTCTCGGAACCGATTCCAACTCAGCATCTCTATAAATTGATTCCTCGCGTTCCGGTTCTTCGTGTTGCGGTTCCTCGGCGATCTCGACTCCTGGTTCATCCAGTTCCTTATATACCGGCTCGCCAATCAGTTCTTGCACCGGCTGATCCGGTTCTTCTCGCTGGCTTTCTTCCTCTCCCACTTCCTTCGGCTGGAATCGGCTGCTGTTGCTGCTTGCACGAGAGATCGGGGTCCTGGGAGAACCGGATTGCCGGGACTTGGGTGAGCTCTCCCCCTGGATCAGTTGGCTCTCACGGGACGGTTGCTGGAACATTTAAAAGCTTTTAGTAAGCGTTTTAGGACACTTGTAGCGCAATTACGAAATATACGCGCAAAACAATAGAGGCAATACAGGACAGTAATAAACATAAAAAGAAGGATGAAAGAAAAAGATGGTAGATGTTTTATAGCAAAGAAGTAGCAAACCACAAATGAGCACTCGCCAACCAGACACCTGGAAAAGGTTTAGAATCTTTTAGTAGTTTTAATCAGAGTTTCACAGCACTTGCAAAACAAATAGGTTATAATATACATATAAGTGTAAGTGCCGAAGATTAGAAATTTAAATATAAAATGTGAAAGGAGAAATTTTTATGTTTATCGCCCCCTATCAATATTACAAGGTTATTTAAGAGGGGGGACCTCCGAATTTAGCGTTCATTCAGAAAGGTCGGAGCCAAATGGGAAATATGTGTAAGATGACTTCCTAAGGACACACCGTCGGACCGAGCTGTAGCTCGAACCCCCGAACCCACACCTCACGATTTCGGGCTGGTCGTCTGACTACTAGGCTACCAACGCTACCACGATTTGAAGCGTTCCTAAAAATTAACATGCAAAGCAGTTTGACATTCCACAGGCAGAGATTGATCTGGAGGTGAATGAGCCCAGTTTAGAGGAGATCAAGGAGGCGATAAGACACGAGGCAGCCGGCCCAGATGGAATTCCCCCAGAAGTTCTCAAGGCGGATTTGGGGCAGGGATTCTTCGTGGGTGGAATTATTGGCAAGATATGGAACGGCGAAGAATTTCCACAGGATTGGAGAGAGGGAATGCTTGTGAAACTACCCAAGAAAAGATGTCTGCATCAGTATAAAAATTACAGAGGAACCATGCTCCTGTCCATTCCAGGGAAGATTTTAAGACACACCATACTGGAAAGACTGAAGGAAGCCGTGGATGTAAAACTAAGAGAGGAGCAGGCGGGATTTCGTAAAAAGAGATCAAGTACAGATCAGATTGCTACTTTGAGGATACTAGTGGAGCAGTCCACAGAGTGGAACTCTTACCTGTACGTTAACTTTGTTGACAACGAGAAAGCTTTTGACAGCCTGGATAGGGACTCAATATGGCAGCTCATGCGCCGCTACGGAATTCCAGACAAGTTCGTAAGATTGATCAAGAAGATGTATGAGGGAATGAGCTGTAGTGTCTTACTTGGAGGGCAGCGGACAGACTCGTTTGAAATGAAAGCAGGAGTGAGACAGGGATGCCTGCTATCGCCTTTTCGCTATTTATTAGCGTTGGATTGGATAATGAGACAGACAACATCAGGACATTGCGCTGGCATTCAGTGGGCCCTTTCCAGTCAGTTGGAAGACTTGGACGTTTATCGACGACTTGGCACTTCTTTTTCTCAGTGGAGCCCAGATGCAACAAAAGACAGATCGCCTCAGGACCTTCTCCCGTAGTGTTGGACTCATTATTCAAACGGATAAAAGGAAAGTCATTCGAATGAATGTAGCCGACGTTCCTATCAAGAGACATCATTGGCAGATGTTGAATCCTTCACCTACCTGGGAAGTGTCATCAACAAGGCAGGGGGAACAGATGAAGACATCAAGGTCAGAAAGCAAAAGGCAAGAACTATATTCATCATCTTCTGGAATAAATGGATGTCTAAGGAACTGGGATTGAACACCAAGCGGGGTATCTTCAAAACAAACGTGAAGACTGTTCTACTGTATAGCTCAGAGACATGGAGGATCACAGCATCAGCAGCAAGGAAACCGCAGAGCTTCAGAAAAGGATGCATAAGAAGGATAGTGGGGATCAAGTGATACGATCGAGTAACAAATGCTCAACAGTGGGAAGGAAAAAGCCAAAGGCCAGTAAAGGAAGACACACACGTGAAGAAATGGAAATGGATTGGGCACACCCTGGGGAGACCCCTGACAAGCATCATTAGACAAGCTTTGACGTGGAATTCATAAGAAAAACGTAAGAAAGAAAACCAAAGATGACATAGAGGCGAGCGGTACTTGTAGAAATGGAAAAGCGCTCTGTCAAGAGTAGAAACTTAAAGAATATTAACGATGACCAATTCCACTGATTTGAACGCGATGCCATCAAAGTCCTGTCATGTGTAAACAAGGCAGATAGTTACAACACCATGGCGAGGGGTGTTCTTGACCAACACGCCCAACTCAGATCCAGAACTATTTCAGATCCACTGTCCGCGCCGTGAATGACGTTGGAGATAAAGGCAGGCAAAGCGGAGCGACGTCAAGCAGAGAGGAGATGGCGGGCACAAGGACTCACCGTGCACATGGACATATACTATATACAGACAACTTCACAGAAAACTCAAAGAACTCATAATCGTAGCGAAACGTTCCTTTTACAAAAACATGATATCAAAGTCAAAAACATATAAAAGTTTCTTTCGCCTTATTCATTCACTTTGTGGAAAATCGAAATCTGCTTCTATTCCCTGTGCGTCTCCCGAGAGCTAGCAAATAACTTGGAACATTTTTTGCGGAAAAAATTGCTACTTTAAGAGACACATTAGATTCATCTGCACCTGAATTCGAGGAGTTCCACCGGGATCTCCTATGTATTTTTAAACCTTTTTCACAGGACTCAGTGAAAGAGATCATACTGTCATCACCACCGAAGTCCTGCTGCCTTGACCCTATCCCTACACCTTTATTAGTCAACCATCTTGACGTTGTTATTGATGTTGTAACAGCTATTATTAATGATTCACTCCTTTCAGGAACAGTGCCTTTGTGTTTTAAGCACGCAGTCGAAACACTGTCTGTCTGTCTGTCTGTCTGTCTGTCTGTCTGTCTGTCTGTCTGTCTGTCTGTCTAACTGTCTGTCTGTCTGTCTGCCTGTCTAACTGTTTGTACTTCCATCAGACTGTCTGAAAGTCTGTCTACCTTTCTAGTTATACCCGTGTGTGTCTGCCGTCTCTTTAATTTCTTATCTATTAGGTGGACCAATCGGGTCAACCATGACAGTATGAACACTGCCAATAAAGATAGGAGGGGAAAAGGCGAACCCTAAAGGGGGGGGGGGAATAATAATGAAAACAGTTAGATATTTTACATTAAGGTGTCCATTAAGTGAATAGATATTGACTCGACATTAAGTTAAGCAAAAACAACAGGTAGCTGGCGGTAACCAGCTGCCAAATAAAGAAAAGCACGGAGGAAGAACAAAGCAGCGAGCACATACACTTTGCTTTCGAGGTGACGGCGTCCGAGAAGGCGACGGGCTTTTTCGGGAAGACGGGGTTCTCGGAACCGATTCCAACTCCGCCTCTCTGTAAATCGATTCCTCGTGTTGCGGTTCCTCGGCGATCTCGACTACTGGTTCATCCAGTTCCTTATATACCGGCTCGCCAATCAGTTCTTGCACCGGCTGATCCGGTTCTTCTCGCTGGCTTTCTTCCTCTCCCACTTCCCTCGGCTGGAATCGGTTGCTGTTGCTGCTTGCACGAGAGATCGGGGTCCTGGGAGAACCGGATTGCCGGGATGTGGGCGAGCTCTCCCCCTGGATCAGTTGGCTCTCACGGGACGGTTGCTGGAAGGTTTAGAAGCATTAAGTAAGTGTTTTAAGACACTTGCAAAGCAATTAGGTAATATAAGCGCCCGAAAAGTAGAGGTGTTACAGGACAGTTATAAACATAAAAAGGATGAGAGAAAACGATTATAAATGTTTTATGGGAAAGAAGAAGCAAAACCCCAACAGAGCATTAGCCAACCACCAACATGGAAAGGTTTAGTATTGTTTAGTAGTTTTACTGAGAGTTTTGCGTGAATGAGATTTGTAGCATTTTATATGAATTAATGAAGAACAGTTTTTTAATCTAGCCCCAATTATTGTGTAAAAAATATGATTAAGTAAAGACAAATTGATACAAACTCCTGGGTAAAATATGGGTGACTTTGATTCAACTGTCAAAACGACATTTGAGGAAAAGTTGCGCCACGAATTTTTGACTGCACTATCTTATAAGAAGGAAGAAGCAAACCACACCAGAGAGCCCCCCCCACCAACTGTCCACTTTGGGAAGGAGTCGGAGCTGTTTGAGTTTGGGTCAAAGAATTATGGTACATGTCGTATTAAGATAAAGAAAACAACAGGTAGCTGGCGGCCACAGACTGTGACATGCCTGAAAGCTCCAAGAAAGAACAGGGTAGCGAGCACAAACACCTCGAGAACAACAACAACACCTGGCGGTGGCATCTCTTCGGGGCGGGGGGGGGATGGGGTTCAGGGAGGTTGGACTGCCTCACCCGCTATCCAAGGGAGGCGGTGGCCCTGGCGAAGAGCACGCTCTTCGAGGCTTCAAACATTTCGAACGGATAGGCTACCACAAACACCTTGACAACAACAACAACAACAACAACAACAACAATAACAACAACAACTCTTTGGGGAGGGTTCAGGGGGGTTGGACTGCTCCACCCGCTACCCAAGAGAGGCGGTGGCCCTGGCGAAGAGCACGCTCTTCGGGGCTCCAAATATTTCAAATATTTCGAACGGATATGCTAAC